GGAGAGCTCAAGGTCTTCATTAAGAAAATCTCTGATCCATCTTAACATGAGAAGGAACTTCTTTACTTTGAGGGTAGTGGAGCACTGGAACAGGCTGCCCAGAGAGGTGGTGGAGTCTCCCACTCTGGAGACTTTCAAAACCCGCCTGGACGCTGTCCTGTGTAACGTTTCTATACCAGTCATCACTGCTGCTCTTATGCGTATAATCTAATTACCACAAAGTGCCATTTTGACCTTTTTGCTCCAAGACGAGTCCTGCTCACCACCAGTGGCTCAGGGGAGGAAGGTAGACCCTGGCCTGCAGCTCTCTCCGGAGTGATTATTTCCCAGCTAACTGCAACGCACTGCGGTGGCATCTCATGGGCGTAGACACCTAAGGGACCTCTAACTGCCTGCAGACCTCTCTTGAAGAGCCACCACGGGCCTGCCTTCGAGAAAAGCATGGGTTAAACCTGCGGTGTGTGGGAGCAGCAATGGGGCTGGGGCAGCTCCACCCTCCCTCCCCCCCCCCAAGGCTGTTACCCACCGAGGCTCAGCAGCAGCTTGCATGGAGTCTGCATTAGGGGGGGCCACCACCAAAATGGGTGCTACTGAAGGTGGGACCCCCCCAAGTCCCACCACCACCAAGATAGGTGATACTGAGGGTGTCCCACCACCAGGATAGAGGGGACACCAACCCTGGTCATGGCCATCCTTCTGGCACCTCCTGCCCATCCTTCCCGTGCCATACCTGGAGCATCAGTGACATCTGCTGCTGTGTCTGGGCATCGGCGCCGGACATGCCACACAGCCGCCACCCAGAGCTCAGCTCCGTCCCCACGGGATCCCTCTGGGTACACGGAGGGTGTGGGTGTCCTCAGAGAGGCAATGCCACCACCCACGGACCCCCACGGAACCACTGCCTGCTGCCATCCCAGCGGCTTCCACCATCCCGGTGTGCCCTTCCCTGGGGCACCATCTGATGGTCTGCTGGAAACTGAGCCTAAAAATGCCAAAAAAAAAAAAAAAAAGAGAAAAATTTTGCTCAGGTGGTGCAGCGGCTGGAGGGGGTGTTGTCCTCTGCGGTGGTACAACAGGAGCTGCAGCTCCATGGGGAAACTGGGAAGAAGGGCTGGGGCATGAAGAGGGGCACCGGGAGGTTTGTTTCTGAGTGGGTTTGCTTTTCAAGGTGGGACACAGAAGTGTCAGAGCAAAGCAGCAATCACTGCCACATGCGCTGTGGTCTTCCATGGACAAGGTCTTCTTGGATGAGGGGGAATGGCTTCAAACTGGAGGAGGGGAGATTTAGAGCAGATATTAGGAAGAAATTCTTGACTGTGAGGGTGGTGAGCTCCGGGGGCAGGTTGCCCCGAGAAGCTGTGGCTGCCCCATCCCTGGAGGGGTTCAAGGCCAGGTTGGACGGGGCTTGGAGCAACCTGGGCTGGTGGGCGGTGGCCCTGCCCAGGGCAGGGGGTGGAATGAGATGGTCTTCAAGGTCCCTTCCAACCCAAACCATTCTATGATTCCCCAGCAGTGTGCCCCCATCACGTTTGCACCCAGGAGCCCACGGATGTCTCGGCTGCATACAAAGGATCGATGCCCACAGTCCACCCAGGATTTTAACCCAGGCTGTTCCCCAACACTCACGTCATCCCCATTACCCTCCCAGGGTGCAGGAGAGCCAAGTGAAGCAGGGCTGGGCCCTCTCCGCGCAGAGAAGGGGCTGCACCCCCCCATCCCAAACTCCTCCTCAATCTCTTGAACCCAACACTAATCTTCCAGCACTCCCAAGCCCACCACAAATTCCCACAACCAGGACAACTGCCCACCCCTACCAGCCCATGCCAGGGAGACCAGGTCTACCCGGCCCCTCCAACCCGGCAGAGGGAGGCCAGGTCTACCCCCAGACCTTGAATGGGGGTTCACATTCCCACAGGGAATTAAAGAAGCGAAAAAAACATCACATTGGTTCTTTATTTTTTTTTGTCTTTGCCAATAGTCTCACTTTATTAGATACCACATCAAGAGAGGATGTTGTGCTGCATGCAGCGGAAGACTGGAGTATTTCTAGTTCCTGTGTAACATTTTCTTTGTCTCTTAATAGTTGTAAACTGATATTTTGCTGTAAAATCACTGCATGCAAGTTTGAATGCAAACAGCAGTAGAAGAGGCTTTTTTTTTTTTTCACCATTCCCAATCCATATGTGCATGCTTTATTTACAACAACAACAACAACAACAACAAAAAATCATTCAGGGAAGAAATTACAATCAGAAAAACTCAGAAGAGGGTGGCAAACGGAGACGAGGACTGTGGTTTGCACAACACCGAGAGGGGGACCGGCGAGTTGCACTTTATTTTTAGGGGTGCAAAGAGATGATCCGAGTATCGCTTGACTGAAGGACAAGCAGGCTGAGCAGAGAATGTCAATACAGGACATGGGTAAAGGCAACCTTAATTTAATTGTTCTGCACACACAAAGGAGGCTGGGCTGCTGCAGGTCTGGAACAAATTAAAGTAGTGCTCAGATTTTTTTCTTTTTTTTTTTTTTAAAAGGTAATTTCATCCCCAGCCACATGTTTCCCCAGCACGGCTCGGAAGTGCGCTGTGCCCAACTGCTGCTCTGAGAGGTTTAGGAGAGGGCAGTGCAAAGGTTTTAGGCAGCTCCAGCACTCTGGAAGGGATGACGGCAGCATCCTACAGCCCAACCATCTCTGCCCGGAGGGGCGACTGCTCCGGCACAGCTGCACTGGACACAGACGGAAACGATGCAGAAGAACTGGGTGGTTTCAGTCTGGGCCCTCCATGCAGCCCACACTGAAGACAGCGCGGCTCGGGGGCTCTGGGCTCTTCCACTTACTGATGCCAAGTCAAGAACTGCATGAAACGGAGGGGAAAGCCATTTTTGGCGTGTCCTCTCCCATTGCGCTCTTCCATGCATCATGCCCTGAGCAGCTCCCATGGCGCTGGCCATGCCCCGTGACGGAGTCCAGAGTCATAGAAAAGCTGCCCCAGCTCCAGCTGAATGGAGCAGAGGATGCACATACTGGGTTAGGATTGTTTTCCCCACCCGTGGACCATGGGTGTCTCCTCCTGGAGAGCATGCCCACAGCGAGCCAGCCGGGGTTTAGGGGGAACGCAGACCCCTGTGGGAGTGCCAGACCCGAGCCGGGGAACGGTTGCTCCACGGCAGCATCATTGCTCGGCCCACGGAGAGGTTTAGCATCACGCAGCGACGTCAGCATCGCTTGGCACACGGCCCCCACCAGCTGCAGGAACCCCAGCCCTGCCGAGATGCTCACTGCAAGTCAGCACTCAGAGCAAATTCTGCCGGGGGAAGGGTGGTGGTGGTGAAAATAATTTAAAAAAAAAAAAAAAAAAAGAAGAAGATAGTATCAAGACGAGGAAAATAACTCATCCAATTCAAAAGAAAGAGCTCTGCGGTACAGCCGGATTGAGGACACGCCACACGACAGCACGCCAGCAGACTACAGCAGCGCTTGCAAGGGAGGTCATGGGACGACGGTGTGGACCGCCGGGGCTGGGGGTTCACGTTTCATACAACATGCGCAGTGACCGACAATATATTCCGGTGGTGGTTATTGTGTTGCTATCGACATCGCTATGGTTGAGGTTGTCCAGCGACAGTGAACGGTACCAAACCCGACCAGCAGCAGTCTGAGAGCGTCTTGACTCTCCCGCTATTGAGAGCAAATCAAACGCCTCCAGATGATCATTAAAGCACAGGTTGGAGACAATGGTTCTTGTGCAGATTTGCAAAAAAAAAAAAAACAACAAAAAAACCCCAACAACAACCAACCCAAAACCCAAAAACAAACCAAAAACCAACCCCAAAGTTTGGAAGACCTGTAACTGTTCCAGCTAATTTCAGTATTTGTGGTATTTTAAAGCAATAATCCTTGCACGCATCAGCTAGTTGGTGGGAAGTATCTTCTCCCTCGGCTTCCCTCCTGCGTGTGATACGGCAAGGGGTCGGCCATGGCAAGGGCAGTGGGAGAAGGGCGCAGGGACAGCCCTCGGGGGTCAGCTAGTCGCCGCCGCGCAGCTAGGGCAAGAAGGGGAGGTAGGCACAAGCTTGAAACACGGGTGGGCTTCTACGGCAACGGGGCGTGCGAGTTCCTCGGGCGAAAGGAACCGCGCGTGGCGGCTGGGAACGAACACAAACCAACCCAAATCCACTTCCCTGCGAGCACGGAGCGGCTCCCTATTTCTCGTTATTGTTATTGTGTTATTGGTAGATCTTCTCGGCAAAGGATGTACCACAATATTGCTCAAGTGTACCAGATCGGAACTAAAGCTCTAGCGGGATTCGCAGGATTACATCAGTGACGCAGGCGTTGGCCTAATCACAACAACACAGATACCAGGCTACGGGTACGACCCACACCAAGGCCAAAACAGCTTTTTCATTATTGCAACTGAGGTATGGATATCACACAAGCAGAACAGGCCGATGCTCCAACACCAGCACTCAACTCCCTCCCACACACACACGCCGGACCAGAGCGTGGCCGGGCTGGTGGTCGCGCATCCCGCTGGGAGATAAAGGAGCCACAAGCTGGTGGTGATGGGACGAGCCGCGGGAGCGGAGGCTGGAGGAATACAGAGCATCACACACACACACACACACGCACGCACGCACCAGGAAGGCTATCACGGCGTGCGTGAGACTAGTGAGAAAGAGGAAGAGTCAGAGGGTAACTATTGCTTGACAAAATTACACACCAGGGTAATTCAATGACCCCCACTCCCTCCGCAAAAAAAAAATAACCCAAAACAAAACCCAACCCAAACCAAAGGAATTGAATATAAAAGATCTGGGTTAGTTTTCAGGTGGAGGTGAGGACAGG